TAAAAATAAGTGGCTGCCATTGCTATATTTTGCATGGCACATGTTACTTCTCAATGAAAGTGCCATAAAGAGCTCCTAGTACTAACATTGCAACAATTATTCTGTTAGTGTCATGTCATGCAAATGTCTTTCCTTAACTTTATTTTAAATCCCAAAGTTGAATTTGTTGATGGAAAACACGAAGCAAAAGGTTCTGTTTGTGGAAATAGAAAGGAGTGTACATGAGGGGCAGAGTGTGTTTTGCTTGGCAGTTCCTTTGCTACCATTTTGTTTTTGTTTTTAGTGCTGGAGGGCAGCAAATTGGCAGGTGTAAATAAGGCTCTAGCTAGTTTCATACTGTATTTACAATCAGTTATTATGGGTTAAAATGTCTGTGGTGCATAGGGAATTAAGTACACAACTTCTGTTAAGAATAATGGAAGCTTAATGTCTAATTTCAAACATTGCATGAATGTAATTTTTCAGTATAATCTTGCAATAATTTCTAACAAATCTTATAAAGTGTACACACATGGATAATTAGGAATCCTTCTGCTTGGGCCTTATTTTGCACTTGCATAAAGTTCAAATTTTTCAATATACATATTTTTGTTTCTAAAATGCAAATGTAGCATATAATTTACCATAATATACAACTGCTAGGTAGGGAATAAAGATTCCTTTACAATGAGAGAGAGAGAGAGCGAGAAAGAGAAAGAGAGAGACAGATTCCTCAATGGAGAAAATTTACTGTCTTATGGTATCAATATAGCATATTGTTATAACTTTAAATTTTGAAAATAGCAAACAGCAATTTGCTTCTCTAATTTGATGTAAAACAGAATCATTTTATGATATAGTTTGCACTTTTCTAGGATTTGCATGTACCACATGTCAAATCATGTCCCAGAAACATAGCAACCACTAGCAGATAAAGCCTAATGTCACATGATGTTTTTTTTTTTTTTTTGAGATGGAATTTCCATCTCAAGAAAAAGAAAGCAAGAATAGCTTTATAAGAAATTTAGAATCGACCGCATTTTCACAATATACTGATCTGTAACAACTTTTTTGAAATCTTCTGGAAACATAAACAGCCCATGTCTCTGTATTTGTTCAGCACATTCAGACAAAGAACCAGATAATCTTGACTTTGAAGAGGAACAGAGGGAAAATATGATAGGAGAGGGGCATGAAATAAATAATAAATAAATAAGTGACTGTTGAATAAAACAATTAGTTTTGCCCCAGGCTTCTGCAATAACTTATGAATTCTTACCAGCATTAGTTTACAGCTGTAACTTCAGGATATAATAGGAGATTGAATCTTGTACAGGCAATGAAACAGATGATCAAATTCACAAGGGATTGTGTCAGGCTTTTTCCAGTACTAAAGAAACATATTAATCCTTGTCACTGTTTTCAGAAACGCTGTGACAGAAATAAACCTGTACTGTAACTTGGCCCTTTTAATGAGCTTCTGGAGTGTGGGCTTTCCACTCAGCACCTGAAAAACACAACAAAACACCTTTTATATTAAAGATGTGAGGTTTGCTGCTGGCTAAATTTGTACACAGAAGTCTATAAACCAGTGCTCAGCCAGCTGGGAAGCAAGAAAGCAAATTCAGATTCTGCCATGAACTTCACAGACCAATTATCTACTTGGAATCATGGGAGTTTAACAAACAAATACCAGCCCCTGCTGAGCCTTTTCAGGCCAGCAGCTTATGGGTGATTCAGTTGCATCCGAGGCTTTTAGACTGATCAATTCTTAATCACAAAGCGCAAAAATTATTCTCAGACTCATGTCAGTTTCTTTGGACACGTTTGTTAACAATCTGCTTCAAATCATTTTTTTTTAAAGAAACTGCAGACACTGTTTTTATTGACTCCCCACTTGTAAAATGTTTATAGCTTGTTAATTTATATTTACCCCTTTACTTTTGCTGCAAATCAACATCACTTAGCACAGTTTGGTTACACTTTGTCCAAAGGAAATTACAGAAGCCTGCTATGGGGCTAAAATGAAGGAAAGCTGCGGAAAATCAATACACTGCTGATTAAACAGATCGTAGCAAATTCACGGCTGTATGCTACAGCATGGAGACATCAGTGTGATGCCTATCTAGCAGTTAATGTGCTTTCAGTCAGGTGAAGAGAATTTCAGAATAAGGCAAAATCATCCAGAAAAACAAGAACTACCTTACACAAGAATGTATGTGCTTATATGAAACCTACATTTTGTGCCAGTTAGTATTTCATTTGGCAAATAGAGGGGGTGCAGAAATTTTACAAAATGTAGCAATGTAATATCTTTATTATGACATTTACCTTTTGTATTATGAAAGGAACTAATGACATTGCAAGATACCACCTATTAACTACCACAAGTCAAGGTTTATTTTTCATTTTATGGAATATGTGCTTTATTGACATTTTCTTGTATAATTTCAATTTGGAAGTAATTGAAATGACTGCTAAGTAGATTATTTGTAGTGAATGTACAAAAGTAATAATGATATGTAAATATTCTATGCAATCCAGAAAGAATAATTTAATTTCCAATTTCAGAGTAGATGAATAGGAAATAAATCAGGTATAAAAGGGAAATATGTAATTATTCTTTTAAATGTAGTGGTAAAGGATGTATCAATACATCACAGTTGTAAAGATTAACACTTACTTGTAAGTCAGAGACAAAGGCAACATTTGGGTGACAAGGAAGACCTGATGTATCCTGACTAAGGCAAGGATACTCTGAGTTAAAGGATATATGATCATTTCCATGCTACCCAATGCATGTATACTCTAAAAACTGATTAAGAGGTGGTACTTCCTTTAATCCAACTTAGAGAATTGCATTGAACCTTCCTGCAAAGGAATTAAGGAAGTTAGAAACAAACAAAAGTTTAAATACAATCTTTCCAGAAAAATGTAATATGAAATTTTGTTTCAACATTTTAAAAAATGTTTGACATACACATTTATTTATTTAGACTACTGTAATCTTATACCAATATATTTTTTTTTTCTAACTTGGTAGGTAAAGTTTGTGACTCTAGTGACCATTGTTCATTCAGGAAAACTACAGCTTTGATTTATTACAGAATTCTGGGAGATAACTTTCAGTAGTAAAACCTTAATATAAAAGAAACACTTGAGGAAATTATGTTCTAAACACAAAAGCCAACTTAAGTTTCAATCTCTCTGTTGTTTTTAAGTCTTTTTCAAAATATCAAAGTCTTTCAAATGGTAACATGGTTAAGTTCTTTGCCAAATTTCATGTGTTAAAATGAAGGTGTTTTTGAGTCATCAAAACTTATAAAAAGACCTTTAACAAGTAAACAGCTTTTCTCTCATTTTTTTAACTGGAAGATGTGGTATAAGAAAACACATTCATGGACACCATATGTGAGGCAAGTATTATCCCAAGATTTTGAGATATTTGAGAATTCCTAGAAAATGAAGGATTTAAAATTGTAGTTTGAGAGGGTCACTCAACGACACCATTTTCATATTGGTATAGCTACATCTACGTAGACACATAAAATATAGTTGTTATATTTTGATTATTCTCTTTAGAAAAATCTTGTATAGGAAAAGAGATCTTCAAATAGCTCAGGAATATGAAAAATAATCATTTACTTCAGTGATTTTGTTTTAGTGTAAATATTAACTTCCCTAGTGTTTTGGTAAACTATCAAGTTTTTAATGTGTAAGCTTAAAATGAGGTAATTTCTACTTAGTTAAATGTCATGGTATTAAAAATTATTGGATATCAATGGAAAGAAAAAGCATTATAGAAAATATAGAAAACACCTATATTTGAAATACTTATTGGTCTGCTTGCTTAATTTGCTCTTTAGTGTCACTGAAAGAAAATTTGTTCTTTGTGGCACTGAAGGAAAACTAAATTGAGTGACAGAATAGAAGGTGATATTGGAAGAAGAAAAAACTGAATAATACAAGTATAAACTTCTCAACAAAAACTATTTTCTAAAGTTCAGAGTTTATGAAAACACTTTGATATTTTTGTTGTTTCAGTAAGCTAATATTGTTTGTAAACATGCTTGCTTTCTTTAAAATCATTTACTGTATAAATATGAGAGTTGGCAGGTGTTTGAATTACCTTTGGTAGAAATCCACTTTCTTAATAATACATAGTAATCTATCACCATTAAGTATATGATCCCCCTGGAAAAAAACTGATGCACATTGCTCTCAAGACTATAATTTCACTGTTCATGATATTAATATTTAATTAAATTATAGTTATTTTAGAAATGTATATCCTTAATTAAATTATACCATGCACATAAAGAAGAAATAACTATGGCATGATTAAAACACTTTTTAAAAATGTACCAAATTTTGAATGCTGTCTGTCATCTCCAAAGTATGACTAACTAGGCTTCAGAAATGACTAGAAAGTCAACTGGAAAAATTGCCAAGTAAAACTACTTGGCTCTTTCAAGAACTGTGCATTAAAATTTTGGACAGTTTCTCTATTAAATCTAAATATACTTCTTATAGCATATACAGTATTACATTTCTAAATTAATTGCCATACTCCCATTTGTTAAAGAATTTCACTCCATGTGAAAAGCAAAGTCTCACTAGATGTGAATTTTACACTGTGCTAGATCAATCCCAATACCAGTAAATGGATATTATTAAACAGCATGGGGTAGTGCAAACTGGGAAAGAAAACTTGTAGTGTGCTGCCTTTGAGCAGACCTGGCTTGCATGCTGTGACAGGGCAATTGTCGACATGCTTTTTCATGCCAATCTGCAGCTTTTTCAACTCTAGATGCTATGGCAACCAGGGTTTAACAGACTAAGCAGCTAACAAGCTTCCCTGATGGAATTGTCTGGTTGTGTGATTGCCTTGTCTTAGGGAAAATATAAAATAGAATGAAGACGCTTGTGGACATTTGTCAAACTGATTATAATTTGGACAGTTGAATCATAATTGTCTGTTGTATACTGTACAGTAGTGACATACGCTATTTTCCACGTTCCTTGCAGAGCACACCATCACATTCCCGCATAGGCTACGTTTCCCTGGGGAACAATGGAGTCCTGGTTGCTGTGGGTTTGGTGCAACATGGCAGTCCACATATCACACCAGATCATCTGGGAAAGAAAAGAATAGTTAACAATTCTTATTTTTTTCCTCTTTGAAAAGGCTTATGTTTGATTTGAACTATATTTGCATGAAATATAATGAACACAAGTTGACGTGAAAAGATATTTCCCTTTTATAAAATGTTCGTGTTCATAGGGTAAGTTGTAGATCAAAATATGCAGGTGAATTAATTTGTTATTTATGATTGGGCATAATTTTAGTTCTTTGGGAATATTGATTTTTTAAATTTGCAACCACTTAAACATGTATTTGTGTCACCAATCATATGCATAATTTAAAACACTGAGGAAATAATCAAGCTTCTCTGATGGAATGGTCTTGTTTTAATACTCCCTTGTTCTATTGAAAATGAATAGAAGATACTCTATTCATTGTTTTAAATGATTAAAAGTCTACTAACAAAATTTCAGTCTCTTTAAATAGCCAAAGGCATTATATTTTCAAGATCGTTTGATATCATATCTTTGTTTTCCTCAAAAGGATAATCTTTTTTAAAAAATTAAAATCATTAAAACAAAATCTAGGTTTCCATTTTATAGACAGTTACATTAAATAAAAAACGAGTAAGATGACATCACAATTTTATAGAATATTGTGAAATAGACTGTTTTTGTATTTTAAAAATATCAATGTTATATCTTGGGATAAAAATTTGATATTTTCAATAGGCTCTGAACTGACTGAGGTTTGTTAAGTCTAAGTTGATAGTAAGAAAACCTGAGCAGAGAGAGGGTACATATGATCATGTTAGCCCAGTCATCTTGGCTACATCTCACCAACCACAGTTCTGCTTTTTTTCTGTTTTCTTAATTAAATTTTGAAATATTTCAAATTGGTGCCTCTAGTTGGAGACACTGAGGCCTTCAAGAAGAGTAGGGTTCTCTCTCCTTCATTTCAGTAGAATGGGCAGCAATTCAAGTTGCCTTTTAAAAATCCTTAAAAGTCACAGACAGTGACTTCTATCTAAATGGTTCAATTTCTAGAACAGGTACATCTCTAGCCTGAGAAGCTTATTCTTTTTCTTAAACAGAAAGACCTCAGCATAAGAACACATTCTTCTATGATGAGTGATGCACACAAGAAGGGTAAGAAATGAAATTGGGAACGTTTTGCTCTCTTCATAAAGAACCTCCCATAGACCCAGTTGTAAAATATACTGTTTCAGAATTATAGTGTATGTAAATTAATAAGCTAAGAATTACTGCCATAAAAGCTTTATTTTAAATGAGACTTAATCATTTTTCATAAAAATCGTTTTACTCATTGGGCTACTATGTCTTCCACTCTAACTCTATCTTAGTTTTGAAATTAGCCTACTTGACTTGTTGCCACAGTACCTGTTACTTTCTTGTTGCCAGCTACTGCTGCACTAGAAAAACATCTCTTCTGTTTTATCCCACTGAAGAATATAACTTTACTATCCTCAGGGAACTTAGTAGAATCATATGCTAAACCACTATCATTTCAAATTAAGGAAAGTCATTTTTTTTAAGAGGAACGAGGATTTTTGACTATATTTTTTCTTCTGAATATCAAGGATTCAGATTTGGTAATTTTACTTTTGAACTCCTTGAAGCTCCTTTTTTTAAATAATAGATTCAAAGTTAGAATGTGATATATAATGCCTATTTGGAGATTAAAGAATTATGCCTGAAAGCAAAGTAATTCTTTCAGTCATTGCAGAGAAGTATAAGAGTCAGGGGCTTTTTATTAGTCCAGTGACTGCTTTTCAGAGGATAAGAAAATTATAGTTTAAGGTACAAGTGATTTCCTTCATGTTTAGGAACTAAAGGCACAAAATTGGTTCCATAACATGAAGGTCAATTGTCATTCACCATAAGATTATACCATCCATACAATCTCTCACAGTGACTTTTTCAGTGAAAAAAAAACAAAAAACAAAAACAAAAACAAAAAAACTCTTTATCCTTCTATTAAACTAAGGCACTAGTACATGTCATTAAAATGAAAATATTACATGGACATCATTAACATTTTAGTACAAATTATTTTAAAGCATTAAATTGTGTAATACCATCAAAGTTTCATTTGGAGTTGGGCAGAGATTCTATCTTCAATTCCCCAGTCAGTTAGTCTTCAGCACCCATTTCACTTCTTGAAGGACCAGAAGAGATGAAAGAAAAAGGCAGTAATACTGGTGTCGTGTTGTCTCCCTCACTGAACTTCTGTAAAATAAGCAATAATTAAAAATATATAGAAATGAAAGTTGTTCCTGAAAACAAGTACAGGGTCTCCTTGAGAATATCAGAAGTTGAATTTTAAGGAAAACATGAAGTGTGCAATAAAATGTATACACTAAGATCTAGCAATAACTTCAGTATTTTTGTAAATTTGACCATTCTCATAATCTCAGGCAGATGAAGTGATATTTACAGTCTGACTGATATTCCCGTGTAGTTGAGGCATTGTTCACTTAGGTTACTTCTTTCTCAAAGGTTTATTATTATTGAACCTAAGATACTTTATATTGTAGAACTCTAGAATTCCGCTGACCAGGAGAGGCTATCACTGCATTGTGGAAACTTGTTACTTTAAAAATTTTCCTGCTCAGGCACAGCAGACCTCTCCTGTCTCACCTGCTGCTCCCCTCAGCAGTGTATTTCAATCAATCCACCTGTTCTGTTCCCCACTCTGTCTCTGGTGAATCCTCTTACTCCCCGCATCTCTGGCCTGTACCCCAGCTCTTGTATGTATAAAATCTTTAAAAAGAAAAAGAAATTTCCCTGCTTAACTTCCATAATTTTTCAGTAATGAATGACTGTATATTTTAAGTTGGTTTTTGCTTTTGTGTAAAATTCTTAGTTGAATAAAGCTTTCTAAAAAATAGTACAGGGTCTGGTGGAGCAGGCAGTTGAGTGCCTCGCTGTAAAGCTGTTTGCAGCCTCTGAAGCGCCGGTTTGATCCTGGCTTGCAGGGCAGAGTCCCACATGGTGCAGCAGACCTCTCCTGTCGCACCCGCTGCTCCCCTCAGCAGTGTGTTTCAGTCAGTCTCTCTGTTCTGTTCCCCGCTCTGTCTCTGGTGAATCCTCTCACCCTCCCGCACATCTGGCCTGTACCTGGTTCTTATATGCATGAATAAATAAATCTTTAAAAAAAATAGTACATGAAGAAAAGTTACTTTCTGATAGTTTAGAATAAGCTTTCCTAGCTATACAGTAATACATAGCCTCTTGGCAAGTTCTCTCAAACATTGGAACTTCAACTCTGATTGAAGGTCTCAGTATATCACTGGAACTAAGTAAATGGTTGATAATTCTGGACAGTGATTAGCACATTTGGAGTGATATTGGAAGAGACTTAAGGGACATGGGGAATACTGAGGACAAAGGGCTGGAGAGACAGGGAGCCTGATTGCTCTGGGATGTAACCACAGAAGCAGCTATAAGTATTTCTTCTCTCCTCAAAGCATTCTGTTCAGTTGGCCTCAAAATGATTAATAGCTAATTATACATCTCATCCAGATTCATAAATATTGAAATAGATTTTAACATTTCTCATTCTGCATTTACCTGCATACAACATTTAGCCTCTTTTGGAGATTCCTCTCCATTTCAAGTGACGAGGGATTAAAAAAAATTAAAATCTTTCCTTACTTTTTCTAATAATTCACAAAAGCCCATGGGAAATTATTTTAAATTATCACTGGAATTAACAGCAGTGTTTTGTTTTGTTTTTAATATTTAAATCTATTTTTTCCTCATGACAAGAGTAAAATGTCTGCCACAATAATCATAATACACAATCATAATGAAGATAAGTTAACATGTATTTAGTACTTCCTATATTCCAAGTTTTCATCTAATTAATGTATTAACTCATTTAGTCCTCCCAAAAAAACCTAAGAAAAAGGAACTGTTATGTCTATTACATAAATGGTAAAAATGAGCCACAGAGAAATTACTGGCTTGTCCAATGTCACAGAACTAGTAACTATGGAATCAATCAAGATTGTCTGAGTTCAGTATCAGAATTCTTAAAGCTCAGAAGTCTTCCTTTGATAACTAAAAAACTGCATTCTGAGGCTCAACACTAATAAGCATTTCATTAATTCCTTTTCTCAACTTGAAGATGGCCAAGGGTTTGTCTCCAGACATCATTTGATTGTATTCTTCACGTGTAACACTTTGCAGAGTTCTAACCAGAGTAAGTGTTAGAAAAATCAATGCTTAGTTTATCTCTAAATATAATTATATTTATGTAGTATTGAGTGGCAGAACAAAGGGAATATTAGTGTTCCTATTTGCATATAGTAAGAAACTTGTATAAAGAAACTTCTACACAAAACTAATAAATGACTACGAGTGAAATTCAAACTGAGGTATATTCAAATTCACATCTTCCTGTCAATGTTTATTATTATTAAACCTAAGGTATTTTATATTGTAAAATTTAAGAATTGTAGAAATGAGAAGTTATACCTTTCTCTATTCTTATTGGTAGTAAAGATAAAAAAAGAGGGAATGCCATTAATGACTTCATAGAGGTTGTAGAGATTCCACTTTTAAAAAGCTATTTGAGAATTTATATACACATTTTCAGCATTTCGGCTCCCAAAGATCTATCTTTACCCTGTAACAGGGTTGACAATTTACATGTAACCTATTTTAAGAAGTAGCTTCCTTTATTATGTACTGATCTTGCTCTGAAGTCTAAGGTCTATTTACAAAGAAAAGAAATTTTAGTTTAATTATAGGTAGCTCAGTTTAAGATTTTTTGTTATCATAGTAAGATATATCCACAAATTCTTTGATACACTTCTCTTCAAAAAGTGGAGGCTCAGTCTCCTTCCCTTGAATGTTAACTACTTAATGCTTTGCTTATAAAGGAAAAATTAAGATGAGTGTGACAATCTTTAACTTCTGAGATTAGCACATACATGCCTTATAGTTTCCTCTTAGTTCCTTCTCTGGTGTCGCTCACGCTGGGGGGAAGCCACGTGCCACCTGATGAGAATACTCAAAATGTCCATAGAGAGACTGATATGGCAAGGAACTGAGGCCAACAGTCCATAGCTAGTGAGGAAACAAGTCTCCCACTAAATGCTGTGGGAGTGAGCTTGAAAGCAGACACTGAAGCCCTAATCAAGACATCAGATGACATAAGCCCAGACTGACATTCTATTTGCAATCTCATGTGAGACCCAAAGTTATAACCATCCAGCTTAGTCATTCCTGAGCTATTAAGGCAATAGCTATTTTGAGGCAACTAATGTTTGTAGTTTTAAGCCACTAATTTTTAGGGTAATTTGTTATACAACACCACCTAATAAAATAGTTTCCATGAGGTAACATTCATTTGATTTCAAATACAAAAAGTCTCCTCAAAGAGTCTCCTCAAAGAGATTGTCTTTCCCTACCTGCTTTCTGAGATGGAAGCTTTCCAGAACAAAGCTTATGAAACAAGTGTTTTGTGCCATTCTCTAGGTCCTGTTCTCTCTGTCGAGAGGAACTTCAGTTCACCTGGAAACTAGCTTTTCTCAGTGAATTCCACTGAGGGGCTGGCCCATTTGAACATTATTCTGGAATCTTCTTCTGACTGTGAAGTTGGCCTTGCTTCTGGTTACAAAATAGTTGCATCTTTCAGACTGCCGTGGCCCTAGTTCTCCTTTTATTTATTTACCCGTATTTTTCAGGGATTAAGCATGTGGAAATTTTGGATGCCTTACTTATCAGGCACTCACCTACCATCACAGATTGCTCCAAACTTGTAACTTCTGAGGTGCCATGTTTTCAGTGCCCTATCTGTCTAAGATTTTTTTTTTTAATACAAGGAATTTATTTATTTATCTATCTATCTATTTATTTATTTATTTATGATTTATTTATTTATACAAGCACTGGGTACAGTCAGAAGCGCGGGAGGGTGAGAGAATTCACCAGAGCCAGAGCCGGGAGCAGAGCAGGCAGAAGGACCGAAGCACACTGCTGAGGGGAGCAGCGGGCGGCAGGAGAGGTCTGCGCGCCATGTGGGACCCTCCTCCAGTGGCCGGGGAGCAGCCAGGGATTGAACCGGCGCTGCAGAGGCTGCAGGCAGCTTCGCAACCCAGCGCTCAACCGCTGCGCCACCAGGGAGGCTCCTGTCTAAGATTCTTAAAGATTTCCTAGCTATATCCTGAGGACATAGGAGCATATTCTTTTCTGGGAATTCTTTAATTTTTTTATTGTACTTGCAAAAGATTGGAAACAACTTAAATGCCTAGATACAGTAATTAAATAAATTATGGTACATCTATATAATGGAGTGCAATGTATCTGTAAATAAGAATGGTATTTTTTTCAGTATATACTTTTCCGTGAAAAAAAAGCAAAGTGCAAAAAGAATGTGACCATATAAGCAAGAAGAACATATAAGAGAATATATACATATCTGCTGATTTGTAGAAAAGACACAGAGAAGGATACAACAAATTGGTTACAGACAGGGACTACTTGTAAGAAAGGGATGAGGCAATGGAACATGGTATGAGGTTAAAGGAGAAGCAACACTTTTGTGAATATATATATATATATTTCTTATTTAGCTCTTACTCTTAGAATCAAATCCAAAATGTCTCCTCAAAGAGATATTGTTTCATATATATCCCCAATAAATACATGATTAAATAATCCAGGAAGTGAGGAGAACTGAAAATGTAAACAAATAGTAAAAAGTGAACCTAATTTTATGATAAATTAATAAAATAACCACACTGATGAGAGTGGGAATAAAAGAATAAGTAACTTTAGAAAGTATTTTGACAAGAGACAAACAAAAAATAAGCTTTACACAAATGTTATAATGAGTTTAGTAAATCTATTTTTTAGGTATAATGAACAATTATGAAACTATTTTTATTTTATTTTATTTTATTTTTTTATTTATTTTTTTTTTTTAGAGGCATGTTTATTTCTTTATTTATTTGTTTTGTTTGTTCTGTTTACACATGCACTGGGTACAGTCAGAAGCGCGGGAGGGTGAGAGAATTCACCAGAGCCAGGGCGGGGAGCAGAGCAGGCAGAAGGACCGAAGTACACTGCTGAGGGGAGCAGCGGGCGGCAGGAGAGGTCTGCGAGCCATGTGGGACCCTCCTCAGGTGGCCGGGGAGCAGCCGGGGATCGAACCGGCGCCGCAGAGGCCACGGGCAGCTTCGTAACCCAGCGCTCAACCGCTGTGCCACCGGGGAGGC